GGTATCTACCTGTGTATATCTACCAGTGTATATAAGGTATATACCTGTGTATAGAGAGTGTCTACCTGTGTATATCTACCTGTGTATAGAGGGTATCTACCTATGTATAGAGGGTCCCTACGTGTGTATAGAGAGTATCTACATGTGTATATAGAGTATCTACCTGTGTATAGAGGGTATATACCTGTGTATAGAGAGTATATACCTGTGCATAGAGGGTACCTACCTGTGTATGGAGAGTATATACCTGTGTATAGAGAGTATATACCTGTGTATTGAGGGTATATACCTGTGTATAGAGGGTATATACCTGTGTATAGAGGGTACCTACCTGTGTATGGAGAGTATATCCCTGTGTATAGAGGGTATATACCTGTGTATAGAGGGTATATACCTGTGTATAGAGAGTATCTACCTGTGTATAGAGAGTATGTACCTGTGTATAGAGGGTATATACCTGTGTATAGAGAGTATCTACCTGTGTGTAGAGGGTATCTACCTGTGTATAGAGAGTATCTACCTGTGTGTAGAGAGTATCTACCTGTGTATAGAGGGTATCTACCTGTGTATAGAGAGTATCTACCTGTGTGTAGAGAGTATCTACCTGTGTGTAGAGAGTATCTACCTGTGTGTAGAGGGTATCTACCTGTGTATAGAGAGTATCTACCTGTGTATGGAGAGTATATCCCTGTGTATAGAGAGTATATACCTGTGTATAGAGAGTATATACCTGTGTATAGAGAGTATATACCTGTGTATAGAGAGTATCTACCTGTGTGTAGAGGGTACCTACCTGTGTATGGAGAGTATATACCTGTGTATAGAGAGTATATACCTGTGTATAGAGAGTATATACCTGTGTATAGAGGGTATATACCTGTGTATAGAGGGTACCTACCTGTGTATGGAGAGTATATCCCTGTGTATAGGGAGTATATACCTGTGTATAGAGGGTATATACCTGTGTATAGAGAGTATCTACCTGTGTATAGAGAGTATGTACCTGTGTATAGAGGGTATACACCTGTGTATAGAGAGTATCTACCTGTGTATAGAGGGTATCTACCTGTGTGTAGAGGGTATCTACCTGTGTATAGAGAGTATATACCTGTGTATAGAGAGTATCTACCTGTGTATAGAGAGTATCTACCTGTGTATAGAGAGTATCTACCTGTGTATAGAGGGTACCTACCTGTGTATGGAGGGTATCTACCTGTGTGTAGAGGTTATCTACCTGTGTATAGAGGGTATCTACCTGTGTGTAGAGGGTATCTACCTGTGTGTAGAGAGTATCTGTGTGTAGAGAGTATCTACCTGTGTATAGAGAGTATCTACCTGTGTGTAGAGGGTATCTACCTGTGTATAGAGAGTATATACCTGTGTATAGAGAGTATCTACCTGTGTATAGAGGGTATATACCTGTGTATAGAGAGTATGTACCTGTGAATAGAGGGTATATACCTGTGTATAGAGGGTATATACCTGTGTATAGAGGGTATCTACCGGTGTGTAGAGGGTATCTACCTGTGTATAGAGAGTATCTACCTGTGTATAGAGAGTATCTACCTGTGTGTAGAGGGTATCTACCTGTGTATAGAGAGTATCTACCTGTGTATAGAGAGTATCTACCTGTGTATAGAGAGTATCTACCTGTGTATAGAGGGTATATACCTGTGTGTAGAGGGTATCTACCTGTGTATAGAGAGTATCTACCTGTGTATAGAGAGTATCTACCTGTGTGTAGAGGGTATCTACCTGTGTATGGAGGGTATCTACCTGTGTGTAGAGGGTATCTACCTGTGTATAGAGGGTATCTACCTGTGTATAGAGAGTATATACCTGTGTATAGAGGGTATATACCTGTGTATAGAGGGTATATACCTGTGTATAGAGAGTATCTACCTGTGTATAGAGAGTATCTACCTGTGTGTAGAGGGTATCTACCTGTGTATGGAGGGTATCTACCTGTGTGTAGAGGGTATCTACCTGTGTGTAGAGGGTATCACAAACAGCAATATCCTCAGAGCATACAAAGGGACAATGTCAAGCAGGTATAATCACTTCTTTTGACAAGCCATATAGTGCCTGAGCCCTAGGCAGTGCATAGGGGCCAGAGAAATCTGTAAAACACACAGGCTTCAAACATTGGCACAATCCTGTTGTGAAATTAAATGGAGTCAAGAGGTCATGTGATGCAACAACATCCACTATCTCCGTGGTGACAGAGGCACCCCACCAGGGCAGGGGGACTGATAAGTGCAGGCATTAGTGACACAAGTCCGATAAATAGGTCAACAAAACAAACCTGTACAAAACTACTCCGGAAACTGCGCTTTGAATACACTGCTACTTGACGTGGCATGGTTGCACATTCAATGTCCGACACACCTCCATGTTTGTTTGTTGTTTAACACCACACTCAGCAATATTCCAGCTATATGATGGCAGTCTGTAAATAATGGAGTCTAGACCAGGCAATCCAGTGATTGATATCATAAGCATCGATTCATGCAATTGGGAAACAATGACATGCATCAAATCAAGGCAGAGAGTCTGACCATCTGATCCCATTAGTCACCTCTTAAGACAGACATAGTCTACTGTTACAGCAAGCATGGGTTTCTGTAGGTTCACAGTAACTATATTTTCTGTTATCTCTGTTACTACACATCAGACACTGTTATATAGCTATTACTACACATCTCACACTGTTATATAGCTGTAACTACACATCAGACACTGTTATATAGCTGTAACTACACATCTCACACTGTTATATATAGCTGTAACTACACATCTCACACTGTTATATATAGCTGTTACTACACATCTCACACTGTTATATATAGCTGTTACTACACATCTCACATTTTTATATATAGCTGTAACTACACATCTCACACTGTTATATAGCTGTAACTACACATCTCACACTGTTATATAGCTGTAACTACACATCAGACACTGTAATATATAGCTGTAACTACACATCTCACACTGTTATATATCTGTAACTACACATCACACACTATCCTTACTCTTAAACATGCGCCATTGAATCAATTTATTTATGTTAAATATCTGGGAGATAATGTTAGAGTGTATAACCTGAATATTTTCCTTCGTGCAATCTGTTTAAAGTAAACAACAGCCCTCCATGGTGAGGTGAGTACACCAGGCCACCCCCCAGAATGTCACGGCTGCCGGAAACAAACTGATCACCAACTACAAGCCAAAGTGATACACCTTCAGGAAAACAAGTGTTTCTTCTGCGACACACAGGTCAAGTTGTGACCTGCCGATTGTCACCCAACATACAAAACTAAAGTAAATGAGGCCTGTGTTGGCTGTCAGTGTCGTCCCTCCAGTCACAGTGTCATGCCATAGATGGAGACACACACTCAATAAGCCTTAACTCTTCTGCTCCTAAACAACAGGACAAATCCACCTCGGAATGGCAGTTTGTGCTCCAGAAATTAACGATATTTCTAAAGTATTTATAAACAGAGCCTTACTCACTGTATAGAAAATGGAAAATTGTTTTTTGTACTTTATTTATATTATTGGCAAAGTACTTTCTTAATCTACATCAAAGACTAATTTATTGAGCTTATTTCATGGTGTTAATTTGGCCATACAAAGGCATTATTGTCATAATATACCCACTTGCAAACACATTATCCAGCTCAAAAAATATTTGGTTGACTGGATGCTATGGGGTAATATTCCACTTGAGGAGATGCGTTAGCTTGGTGCTGCAGTGAGTGTTGTGTAGGACAGCACTGTCTCAAGGTGCTTCAACTCTAAGGAAAGAAACACATGTGAGAAACCTAGCTGCTGTCTCAGTATTTCGACCACATCACAAATCACCCCAGGTAATACATACAATAAGTAGGCTTCATTACATCACTGGTGCATGGCCTCAGCCCTGCATAACCAACAATCAAAAAACAACAAAAAAATCCTAATTCTCACTGACTCGCTTAGTGGGCTACAAGCCCTCCAAAACAAAAATACCAAAAAACGACCTAAATTAATAAACCAAATACTTAAAAGCTCCAACGACCTAACAAAAGCAGGCAAACAAATAACCTTCTTGTGGATCCCCGCCCACGTAGGGATTTACGGCAACGAAAGCGCCGATAAAGCAGCTAAATTATCTCTCAAAATACCAGAAATAAGCCTAAACCTACCCATCTCAAAATCAGAAATTAAAAGTGTAAACAAACAAAAAATAACCAAAAAATGGCATAATCAATATCAAAACTCAAATAGCCAAATCCAAAAAGTGCTCAGAAAACCACTAGCCAAACCTAAAATCCTACACCCCTCTAAAAAAATTGACAGATTAATTACAAAACTCCAAACAGGATACACGAACCTACATAACCACCTAAAACAACTTAAAAGACACACCACAGGCAACTGCCCCCACTGAAAACAACCCGAAACCACAGAACACGCACTCATCCACTGCACCCACTACCAAACACACAGAACCACACTACAAACCAACCTCAATCTAAATAAGGTTCCTACTCTAGATGAAATACTAAACCCTCAAAATAAACTAGAAAACTTCAAGGCCCTAGGCGTATTCCTAATCAAAACAGGCCTAATCAAGCGCATCTAAAAACTAATTAATCTACCAATCCAAAATCCAATAAACATACATACACCCACCTCACCCGGCTCCCTTAGTTCCCTCCTCCACCCACCTCGGCATTTATTCCAAATTTTAAAATTTCAAAAAATCGATATAAGCAACCCCTAAAAGCCCCCTCTTGTGTTGCACACACCACTTTCACCCTTCTCGGAATACACTAAATGGTCGGGCCAGGCCCGTGTGCGAAATACGCTGCAGTCGGAAAGCGCACGTTAAATCTTCTATATCAGTCAGTCAGTCAGACATCACTGGTATGTGTGATAAGGAATACCATCTCCCTTGGGCAGTAAACAGTCCTACTGGGCAAGGAAAAGGACCAGATTGCAGTCATGACCCATGCCAGAGGGAGACTTTAGTCTCTTGAGTGTTTAAGTCTCTCAACAATAGCTAATGCCCTGTAGTGAGATGTAATCTCTGTGTTGTTACGGCAATCACTATCAGATTGATATTCATCATAAATTGGGGGTTAACAGACACAGAACGTAGTGTTTGGAGAACTTGGATCATTTTCTGAACGAAGTAGTCCTTTAAAGGGTTAATTCATCTTTAGTTGTATCACTGTTGCCAGCACTGGTGGTGAGCCTATGCACTCATCACTGTGAGCGACTCCCTCATCCCGGCACACCGGCGCTGTCAGGCTCCACGGCAAAGTAAGGCATGATAACTGCACTTCATTTCAGACATGGTTAAAGTTGTTAGAATGCTGTTGTAACATTTGTAGTTTGCATGTGCACTGGCGGTGGTGTGTGTGGCGCTGTAGGAATGCACACTGCAGTCTTACCATTTACACTGCAGTGATACACCTCCATGTACACCTGGCCACACAGGACAGACATTGATACACCTCCATGTACACCTGGCCTATAAGGACAGACAGTGACACACCTCCATGTACACCTGGCCACACAGGGAAGACAGTGATACACCTCCATGTACACCTAGCCACACAGGACAGACATTGATACACCTCCATGTACACCTGGCCACACAGGACAGACAGTGATACACCTCCATGTACACCTGGCCACACAGGACAGACATTGATACACCTCCATGTACACCTGGCCTATAAGGACAGACATTGACACACCTCCATGTACACCTGGCCTATAAGGACAGACATTGACACACCTCCATGTACACCTGGCCTATAAGGACAGACAGTGACACACCTCCATGTACACCTGGCCACACAGGACAGACATTGATACACCTCCATGTACACCTGGCCACACAGGGCAGACAGTGACACACCTCTATGTACACCTGGCCTATAAGGACAGACAGTGACACACCTCCATGTACACCTGGCCACACAGGACAGACATTGATACACCTCCATGTACACCTGGCCACACAGGGAAGACAGTGACACACCTCTATGTACACCTGGCCACACAGGACAGACAGTGACACACCTCCATGTACACCTGGCCACACAGGACAGACAGTGATACACCTCCATGTACACCTGGCCACACAGGACAGACAGTGACACACCTCCATGTACACCTGGCCTATAAGGACAGACAGTGACACACCTCCATGTACACCTGGCCTATAAGGACAGACAGTGACACACCTCCATGTACACCTGGTCACAGAGGACAGACATTGATACACCTCCATGTACACCTGGCCACACAGGACAGACAGTGATACACCTCCATGTACACCTGGCCACACAGGACAGACATTGACACACCTCCATGTACACCTGGCCACACAGGGAAGACAGTGATACACCTCCATGTACACCTGGCCACACAGGACAGACATTGATACACCTCCATGTACACCTGGCCACACAGGTAAGACAGTGACACACCTCTATGTACACCTGGCCACACAGGACAGACAGTGACACACCTCTATGTACACCTGGCCACACAGGACAGACAGTGATACACCTCCATGTACACCTGGCCACACAGGACAGACATTGACACACCTCCATGTACACCTGGCCTATAAGGACACACAGTGATACACCTCCATGTACACCTGGCCTATAAGGACAGACATTGATACACCTCCATGTACACCTGGCCACACAGGGCAGATATTGACACACCTCCATGTACACCTGGCCTATAAGGACAGACAGTGACACACCTCCATGTACACCTGGCCACACAGGACAGACATTGATACACCTCCATGTACACCTGGCCACACAGGACAGACAGTGACACACCTCCATGTACACCTGGCCACACAGGACAGACATTGACACACCTCCATGTACACCTGGCCACACAGGGAAGACAGTGATACACCTCCATGTACACCTGGCCACACAGGACAGATAGTGACACACCTCCATGTACACCTGGCCTATAAGGACAGACAGTGACACACCTCCATGTACACCTGGCCACACAGGACAGACATTGATACACCTCCATGTACACCTGGCCTATAAGGACAGACAGTGACACACCTCCATGTACACCTGGCCACACAGGACAGACATTGACACACCTCCATGTACACCTGGCCACACAGGGAAGACAGTGGTACACCTCCATCTACACCTGGCCACACAGGACAGACAGTGACACACCTCCATGTACACCTGGCCACACAGGACAGACATTTACACACCTCCATGTACACCTGGCCACACAGGGAAGACAGTGACACACCTCCATGTACACCTGGCCACACAGGACAGACATTGATACACCTCCATGTACACCTGGCCACACAGGACAGACATTGACACACCTCCATGTACACCTGGCCACACAGGACAGACAGTGACACACCTCCATGTACACCTGGCCACACAGGACAGACATTGATACACCTCCATGTACACCTGGCCACACAGGACAGACATTTACACACCTCCATGTACACCTGGCCACACAGGGAAGACAGTGACACACCTCCATGTACACCTGGCCACACAGGACAGACATTGACACACCTCCATGTACACCTGGCCACACAGGGAAGACAGTGATACACCTCCATGTACACCTGGCCACACAGGACAGACAGTGACACACCTCCATGTACACCTGGCCACACAGGGAAGACAGTGATACACCTCCATGTACACCTGGCCTATAAGGACAGACATTGACACACCTCCATGTACACCTGGCCACACAGGGAAGACAGTGATACACCTCAATGTACACCTGGCCACACAGGGAAGACAGTGATACACCTCCATGTACACCTGGCCTATAAGGACAGACAGTGACACACCTCCATGTACACCTGGCCACACAGGGAAGACAGTGATACACCTCCATGTACACCTGGCCACACAGGGAAGACAGTGATACACCTCCATGTACACCTGGCCACACAGGACAGACAGTGACACACCTCCATGTACACCTGGCCACACAGGACAGACAGTGACACACCTCCATGTACACCTGGCCACACAGGACAGACAGTGACACACCTCCATGTACACCTGGCCACACAGGGAAGACAGTGATACACCTCCATGTACACCTGGCCACACAGGACAGACATTGATACACCTCCATGTACACCTGGCCACACAGGACAGACAGTGACACACCTCTTTGTACACCTGGCCACACAGGACAGACATTGACACACCTCAATGTACACCTGGCCACACAGGGAAGACAGTGACACACCTCTATGTACACCTGGCCACACAGGACAGACATTGACACACCTCCATGTACACCTGGCCACACAGGGAAGACAGTGATACACCTCCATGTACACCTGGCCACACAGGACAGACATTGATACACCTCCATGTACACCTGGCCACACAGGACAGACAGTGACACACCTCTTTGTACACCTGGCCACACAGGACAGACATTGACACACCTCAATGTACACCTGGCCACACAGGGAAGACAGTGACACACCTCTATGTACACCTGGCCACACAGGACAGACATTGACACACCTCCATGTACACCTGGCCACACAGGGAAGACAGTGATACACCTCCATGTACACCTGGCCACACAGGACAGACATTGATACACCTCAATGTACACCTGGCCACACAGGACAGACATTTACACACCTCCATGTACACCTGGCCACACAGGACAGACATTTACACACCTCCATGTACACCTGGCCACACAGGACAGACATTGATACACTTCAATGTACACCTGGCCACACAGGACAGACATTGATACACCTCAATGTACACCTGGCCACACAGGACAGACATTGACACACCTCCATGTACACCTGGCCACACAGGACAGACATTGATACACCTCAATGTACACCTGGCCACACAGGACAGACATTGATACACCTCCATGTACACCTGGCCTATAAGGACAGACATTGACACACCTCCATGTACACCTGGCCACACAGGGAAGACAGTGATACACCTCCATGTACACCTGGCCACACAGGGAAGACATTGATACACCACCATGTACACCTGGCCTATAAGGACAGACATTGATACACCTCCATGTACACCTGGCCACACAGGGCAGACACTGACACACCTCCATGTACACCTGGCTTTTAAGGACACACAGTGATACACCTCCATGTATACCTAGCCACACAGGGCAGACATTGACACACCTCCATGTACACCTGGCCACACAGGGCAGACATTGACATACATGATGTTCAGTGAACTATCAATTCAAATGTTTTCATGTTGGTTTATAACTTCTGATTGATTTCAATAAATCTACAGGAAATTCTAACATGACATTGAAGAATGTTTGATTCTGATTGATTTAAAAGAGGTTTCCTTTTTGCAACAGAAACCTCTTTCAAACATATTAAGCCTTTTCACCAAAAAACCAACAACGTGTGTATGAACACATAGATAGGCTAGACATCAATCCATTTAAAAAGGCTGTTGATAACCGATAAGAACAGTCTACCGTATGAATATTTCCTCTATCAGACGCTGGGTCCCTAATACAAGCCAGGGCCCACTTGCACAAGGTGATCTTAGCGCTAAGATGATCGTAACTGGGATATTTTAACATAGGCTTAGAATAGTTGTAGTGCTAAGATTGCTTTGTGCAAGTGGGCCAAGGTCTCTAATAAGGAGCAAAAAAATGTGTTTTGTAATTTGATGTTGTCCCACTGTTGAGAAGATACCTCCTATTTTAATTTGAAACCAAGCGCTTGAGTGTGAGGTTTCAAATGTATAAATAACAGATATCTTCTCTACATTGGGAGATATCAAATTTCAAAACACAGTAGGTTTATCTCCATTCTACCATGATGGCAACAGTCCTCCAGGTATCCAGTAAAACTATATATACTACTCATGGTAAGTTTTCCATTGACTGGAATACTTGGAACACTTTTATTGGAGATTGTTTGTCTGGGGTTAATAAGTGTGTAAAGTAGTGTTCACATTACCAGGTGTAAAAAATGTCATTTTAGGGCGATGTTGCTTCATGCCGTAGTCTCCAGTATTCTTGCACTGTGGTCTGTCAGTAATGAAGTGTATGCCAGAGTACGAGGACACAATCAGACAAGGCACCAGTCTGACAACCACGATCAATGTCAGTGGACTTGTATGCATACTGCTGTGTCATGGCACAAGTACAATCATATGGAAATACTTCTCTTTTGATATATGTGACCCACCAGGACCTTATGGGTGGTAGCATACAAATGTGTTATGGCGTAATAAAGACGATTGACGTCAACTTACTTTAGTGAAGATCGACATGTGTGATGTCATGTATCTCTACAATAGATATGAATTTAAGCTTCTGAATTGTAGTATTGTGTTTTTCACACCTAAAGTCCCTTATCTCCTGGTGGCTCACATTGATTGAGCAGCACATGCACATGCCTATAAATAGCACAGTGTGACCTCCCCATTCTGACAGGTGTCTATAACGGCTCATTCATCAGTCTGCGTGGTCTGGCAGGAAAAACCATTCACTTTGTCACGTGACACTGGAGGACAAACAATTATAATTACAAACACAATTGGATTCTCAGAGAACACTGTCTGCTACAAAGGAGTGAGTGAGTATTGTTTTATGCCGCTTTTAGCAATATTCCAGCAATATCACGGCAGGGGACACCAGAAATGGGCTTCACACATTGTACCCATGTGGGGCATTGAACCTAAGTGTTCAATGTCACTAGCGAACACTTTAACCACTAGGCTACCCAACCGCCCCTTACCTTCATAGGAGTATCGGCTTTTGTACTATTTTGAATAATATACTGCACCATTCATAATCATATTTATTATCTATTATATATGCCTAATGATGGATTGATTTTGAGACATAGTTACTAAAATGTGTTAAGTCAACATACGTTGTCACAGGGTGAAACACAAACAAGATCAAGCGATGATCAGGTGCATGTGTGTTGAGTGTGGTCTTGGAGTGAGTGAGTGAGTGAGTGAGTGAGTGAGTGAGTGAGTGAGTGAGTGAGTGAGTGAGTGAGTGAGTGAGTGAGTGAGTTTGCTCTACATCCGTTGTTGTCTGTTTCAGAATGAGAGTTGTCGACATCCTCGTCCTCGGGTCAATGCTGCTTCTGTTGCCTCCAGACAGTCAAGGCTGCTCGTTCCTCACCCAGGGGGGATGTACATGCAGATCGGAGGCCTCCGTCATCAAAATCCTGTGTCATTCATTTGACACCTCGAAACCGATCATCACATCCAACACCACCAAAGTCAATCTGCAGTTTCTGGACTTATCCTACAACAACCTCACTGAGTTGCCAGACAATCTCTTGGACTCTATTCTCAGTGTTGATGAAGTGGATCTTCAGCATAACCAGTTTGAACTATTTCCAGCCTTCCTCACCACCAAGAACATCACAGTCCTGACCCTGTCCCACAACCTGCTCACCACCCTGGACTCCCACGCTCTCAATGAGAAGTCCACGGTCCGAACACTGGACATGTCCAACAACCGCATCAGCAGCTTCCACGTGTCCGAGAACCACACCCTCCAGCTGGACATGCTGAGACTGGACCACAACCGAATCACCCACGTGCCAGACACAATATGGAAGGCAGCAGGCAGTCTCAACCTGTCCTATAACAATATTTCCAGCTTGCCTAAGATCATTGGCTCCCACATCAAATATCTGATCCTTGAAGGAAACCAACTGCAGGAGATTGGTCCGGACACATTCAGTGAGCTTCAGTACCTGGACGAACTGTACTTGGGCAACAACCAGCTGGTAAAACTCACTGCCAATAGTTTCTATGGTGCTTGGGCATTGACAGAAATCAGTCTTGAGGAGAATGAACTTAAAACCATTGAAGGAGGGATCTTTAAGAAGCTTCAAAACTTGCTAAATCTCAACCTGGCCAAAAACAAAATTGAAGCAATTCCAAAAGGAACTTTTGATGGTCTTGAGGAGAGCATTCACAGATTGTCACTCGGGCAGAACAGGATATCACACATATCACCAACTGCATTTGCAAGTTTACAAAATCTGCGCTTTCTGGACCTGTCTGATAATCCATCACTTGGCGACATCACCCAGACTCAGTATCCCCCTCACATCATCTCCCTGGATCTGAGCAACTGCAGCCTGCAGACTCTTCCCGACTGCAAGTTTGCACTGTACATGGACCTTCAGTTCCTGGGACTCGCCCACAACAACCTGACCTGCGGCTGCCACCTCTCCTGGCTCTACAGCCGGCAGACCGGAACCCGCAAATACACTGCAGCCAACTACACACTACCAAACTGGAGATGCTTTGATTCCAGGCGTCAGCTTCAGCAAGTGTCGGCGGTCACGGCGTGCGGCAACATGACGAAGCACTTGCAGCACTGCCACCTGAAACCAACCAGTCTCATCAATCCAGACACCATCAGCCTGAGTATTTCAGTCCAGGCTCAAGATGACAGCATCACCGTCACCTGGAGATTGAAATCCAAGGTTGAAATCCACGGACTCCTTGTGACATACTTGACCAAAGATGCTACAAAATTTGAATCACCCATGCTGCACCCCAACAGCAGCAACTATGTGATGAGAGACATGAAGGTCATGGGCTCCTATACTGTCTGTGTCCACGTCCTACTGAATGCTACTTTTACCATCAAGAAGGCGTGTGAGACGGAAGACTCCAACTTGGTGCAGATGCTGGTTGGAATCCTGGCCGGGTCTGTGTTCCTGATTCCATGTGTTGCAGCCATGGCTTACATCCTGTACAAAGACCACCACATGATGAAAGCTTATGAACATCTCGAGGGACTGGAAGATATTGTCATCACTGAAGGTCACACTGAGGTCAAACACATGTCCAAGAAAGCTGCCGACAAGGTTCTAGATGAAGGTCCAACTCATCGTTCAGAAATGGCTGGACATTCCACCCAATCAGGGAAAAAAGGTGATGTTGAAACTGTCATTGCTTTGCAGACTCCATTACCTTCCAAAAGTAATACTTCATTTGTGGCAGACTGTGGCAGCACACACAGTCCATGTGAGAAGTGTAGAGAATGTGACAGCAGTCAGGAACCGGAGACATTCAATACAAAGCTGTAACGCTGAAGAGGCTTACTGGGGAATCCTGCCTTGCGTTGTATCATCAACACCTTGTACAATCAGTACCACGTACAACTAGTACAGTTTAACAAGTGCCTTGTATGATAAGTACCCTGTACCATCGGTACCACGTACCACTAGTACAGTTTAACCAGTGTCTTGTATGATAAGTACCCTGTACCATCAGTACTATGTACAACTAGTACAGTTTAACCAGTGCCTTGTATGATAAGTACCCTGTACCATCAGTACCATGTACAACTAATATAGTTTAACCAGTGCCTTGTATGATAAGTACCCTGTACCATCAGTACCACGTACAACTAGTACAGTTTAACAAGTGCCTTGTATGATAAGTACCCTGTACCATCAGTACTATGTACAACTAGTACAGTTTAACCAGTGCCTTGTATGATAAGTACCCTGTACCACCAGTACCACATACAACTAGTACAGTTTAACCAGTGCCTTGTATGATAAGTACCCTGTACCATCGGTACCACGTACCACTAGTACAGTTTAACCAGTGCCTTGCATGATAAGTACCCTGTACCATCAGTACCACATACAACTAGTACAGTTTAACCAGTGCATTGTATGATAAGTACCATGTACCATCAGTACCACGTACAACTAGTACAGTTTAACCAGTGCCTTGTATGATAAGTACCCTGTACCATCAGTACCACATACAACTAGTACAGTTTAACCAGTGCCTTGTATGATAAGTACCCTGTACCAACGGTACCACGTACAACTAATACAGTTTAACCAGTGTCTTGTATGATAAGTACCCTGTACCATCAGTACTATGTACAACTAGTACAGTTTAACCAGTGCCTTGTATGATAAGTACCCTGTACCATCAGTACCATGTACAACTAGTACAGTTTAACCAGTGCCTTGTATGATAAGTACCCTGTACCATCAGTACCATGTACCACTAGTACAGTTTAACCTGTGCCTTGTAGGTTAAGTACCCTGTACCATCAGTACCATGTACAACTAGTACAGTTTAACCAATGCCTTGTATGAGAAGTACCCTGTACCATCAGTACCATGTACAACTAGTACAGTTTAACCAGTGCCTTGTATGATAAGTACCCTGTACCATCAGTACCACGTACAACTAGTACATTGTACAGAATATATATCGCAGGTGGAGGATTAACAGCAGAGGATTAACAATAACACTTGCATACATGAGTGGGATAACATGAGTAAGTGTTGACAACAGAAGGATAATACTGAGTGGGATAACATGAGTAAGTGTTGACAACAGAAGGATAATACTGAGTGGGATAACATGAGTAAGTGTTGACAACAGAAGGATAATACTGAGTGGGATAACATGAGTAAGTGTTGACAACAGAAGGATAATACTGAGTGGGATAACATGAGTAAGTGTTGACAACAGAAGGATAATACTGAGTGGGATAACATGAGTAAGTGTTGACAACAGAAGGATAATACTGAGTGGGATAACATGAGTAAGTGTTGACAACAGAAGGATAATACTGAGTGGGATAACATGAGTAAGTGTTGACAACAGAAGGATAATACTGAGTGGGATAACATGAGTAAGTGTTGACAACAGAAGGACAATACTGTCCCCACACGATGGACAGAGAACACATAGGTGGAAGGCAATGGGATATGAAGCCAATTAAACAGGATAAGTGATTATTGCTTGATGAGTTCATAGTAGGCGGTTGGGATGAAATAGCCTTGATCTCTGTTGATTGTTAATCCTCCACCTACTATATATATCAGTACAATGTCCTTCATTCGGTCTTGCTTGACAGCAGTATAAGGATCTATACAAAAACGTCACTTTTTACAGTATTAAAGAAGTTGTTATCCATAAATTGTGTCTACTTTGAAATCCCTTATACCTGGCCATGAACAAGACAGGCTGCACATGGATGTCTGAGATGCAGAATACATCCCTTATACCCTACCATGAACAAGACAGGCTGCACATGGATGTCTGAGATGCAGAATACATCCCTTATACCCCACTATGAACAAGACAGGCTTCACATGGATGTCTGAGATGCAGAATACATCCCTTATACCCCACCATGAACAAGACAGGCTTCACATGGATGTCTGAGATGCAGAATACATCCCTTATACCCCACCATGAACAAGACAGGCTTCACATGGATGTCTGAGATGCAGAATACATCCCTTATACCCCACCATGAACAAGACAGGCTGCACATGGATGTCTGAGATGCAGAATACATCCCTTATACCCCACCATGCTTTTTCCACATGTCATTGAAAGTCACATGACATGGCACAAGTTAACCTAAGCTCAATTGAACAGCTGTTTTCAATCAATGTTGAATGTGTTTGATTGTTTTACATTGGCAGATCACAAGATACATTTGATGTAGCCCTTGGCTCATGGTATAACAACTATCGCGGGACACATAAAACCACATGTGCCCCAAGTGATACTGCTACAAGTCATAATGGAATCAAGATCTTGTATAGTTCATGTCCGGACAGTCAGTACCAAAATACAGTCAAGTCCCGTTAATCTGACATCGATGATTGGAGATGATTGTGTCGGATTAACAAGTATGTCGGATAAACAAAATCAAGTAATATCAACGTTTGTGATGGAAAATCGGATAACGATTCAAACACGTAATGAAAAAGTATAAAACAAATATTCATATTGTTATGTTACATTTTGGCGGAATATGTTTTCTAATTATGCAACCTCTAAAGTTTAACACAAAACAACTGTTACGGACTGATTAATGAGTGATTTCGGTAATTCGTTGCAAATTAGGTGTGTCGGAGTCGGAGTGCGAGACTGTCGGATTAACGGGTCTAAATAGCACTGATTTAATCGGCTCCCATCATTACTGTCGGATAAAGCCGAATGTCAGATTAACGAGGCTTGACTGTATATAATAAGAATCTGTAAAATTACTGCCTTGAATAATCAGTGTCCTGTGCAATTACTGTCCTGTGAAAGCAGTGTCTGGACTACTCAGTCAGTGTCCTTTATCACCAACCAGTATCTGGTATACTCAGTGTCCTGTATAACCAGTATCCTGCATAAGTGTCCTGAATACTCAGTGTCCTGAATAAACAATGTCTTGTATAACTTATGTTCTGTATAACCAGTGTCCTGTATAACCAGAATCCTGTATGATCACTGTCCTGCATAACCAGTATCCTGAATACTCTTTTTTTTTATTTTAAATATTTGGTATCCTGAATATTCAGTGTCCTGTATAATCACTGTCCTGTATAACCAGCATCCTGTAAAATGACTATTGACGAGGTATGCAGGGTGTCAAACATGAACATGTGTGTACACGCCTCCACAGGTGCGAGAATGTTGACGGTGTGATGAACAGGAGAACAACATGTTGTTTAGACCCATGTCGCACAGATTGGAAGCTTTAATGAAACTGGAAAATTTAAGCAATTAAAAACAATAAACTATGCAAGATTGAACGTTATTGGGACAGCTACCCAAAATATGCCTGAACAAAACCACTGATTTAATCTATCTACATGCAATACCTGACAAGTAACAGTCAGTGTGGATGTAAAATGGTTCACTCCAGATGCAACTGATCTCCACTCTGGGAACGTGAAAATGAGATGGTTTTTTATCATTTTAATTCACTTCTCAGTAATGATGCTTTGTATATATAGGACCTGTTCTCATGATCTCAGTGAAGCTTTACTTCATCACCTGCCCCTGTGGGTCCCTGGGGAAACACGAGTTACAATACAAAACATGATATATGTCAGTGTATTAAAGTTCCCATGTTTCAGTCAGACAAGCGGACTTGCAACTTGCAAAGTTACCAGACAAGATAGAGTGTTGCCAGTCCTGAATGCTCCAGACTACACAAGTAACAAATGGCTAAACAATAGTACACATGAGAATAGAACTGTTTACTAACTTGTAGATTATCAGCTTAGTAACTTCATCAATAATGTGTTTAACATTTACAGTTAATTTACCGGTAGCTCTTACATTGAATTAAATCTAGAATGCTTAGGTAATTTAGGGAATACAATAATAGCCTGACCACCGGGCGTGCAACCTTTGAAAACTGACTGTCCGTCAGCTAAATAGATCTACATAGTCACGGACTGTTGGGAAGGTGGGTATTTTAAACACTGGATATGTGAGGTGCAGATTCCATTCAAGTCAGGAAGTTTTCATGTCAAGTTTATACATTTACCATATCAATAATCAACATCAGATGCAGAGTAAAACGCTGTTTATACAATTCAACTGTAAAACCCTTGTCTTACAATTCAACTGTAAAACCCTTGTCTTACAATTCAACTGTAAAACCCTTGTCTTACAATTCAACTGTAAAACCCTTGTTTTACAATTCAACGGTAAAACCTCTCAGGTGGGGTCCATTCTACAAAGCTATGGTAACGCTAAGGGGAACGTAACTCCCATACTTTAACACAGACATACGACCGTCGTAGTGCAAAGATCGCTTTGTGGAACGGGGCCCTGGTCTCACTTGACAGTGATACCTCTGTCATAGCGACTGATTTGGAACAACCATTGTCTGAAGAACATTTGATTCCAAAGGCGAACCAGAGTTTGCCACTAACGTGGCTATATCCCCTGCCCAATATCCCCCGCTATATCCCCCGCCCGCCCCTGTTGCCGAATCTATGACATACTTCAATCTAAACAAACCCTAACCTTTTTTAACCGAGGTGGAACTTGTCATGGAAATTGTAAAAAAAAGAAGAGTTTGGAACCAAAGTCCATCTTGTTGCCATGGAAACGTAAAAATAAATATTTCTAATATTTCTAAATAGCAAAAGGCACCAGTTCAGCATGTACTTGACAGACCTGTAAAGTTTCATGAAAAAAAATTGAATGGTTTATGAGGAAACAAAACGTGACGGACGGACGGACAGAGCCCGTTTCTATATCCCCCACCAACTTTGTTGGGAGGGGGATAATTATCCTGTAGCCATGATATGTATATGTCTCCATAACTAAATTGCCATTATTTAAAGGCGCTCATCCCCATTTTTAATTCTCACCAACATTTCATTGTACATTGACTGTCAGCCAACCTGGGCTACCATATCACTTCCCGTTAATTACTGTTATTTATAGTATGACATTTATTGCCTTAATTGATCATCCCCTGAGCTGTGTCGGTTCATCACGCCCATATGTCCCATGTCCAGAACAGCATCAGTGTCTCTCTGTCTGTCCATTGTTGTTCATTGCTATATATGTGTTATCATTACACTGTTAGTCAGCTGGGTATTCCGAGTGCTGGTGTCGGGATGACCTCAAGCAGGATGTGCCGCTCGTAGGAAACGTCCTGAGGTTGAGCTGGAGCTCGCTCCACTCACCTCATGTATGCCTGAGCTGGAAGGTCCGATCATTGCTGTGTTTGTGTTGTCAGAGCAGGTATTCCGCTCATTGTGTATTTGTATTTGTTGTTTATTGTTTACATGTTGTGCATAAAACGTTCCTGAGCAGTGATGTCGATTTTGTCCTTGATTCCCCAAGAGCCAATTCCCCGTCAACATGTGCGTTGACACCTCCCACAATTCCCCATCAACATGCGCGTTGACACCTCCCACAATTCCCCATCAACATGCACGTTGACACCTCCCACAATTCCCCGTCAACATGCGCGTTGACACCTCCCACAATTACCCGTCAACATGCGCGTTGACACCTCCCACAATTCCCCATCAACATGCGCGTTGACACCTCCCACAATTCCCCGTCAACATGCGCGTTGACACCTCCCACAATTCCCCGTCAACATGCGCGTTGACACCTCCCACAATTCCCTGTCAACATGCGCGTTGACACCTCCCACAATTCCCTGTCAACATGCGCGCTGACACCTCCCATAATTCCCCGTCAACATGTGCGTTGACACCTCCCACAATTCCCCGTCAACATGCGCGTTGACACCTCCCACAATTCCCCCTCAACATGCGCGTTGACACCTCCCATAATTCCCCGTCAACATGCGCGTTGACACCTCCCATAATTCCCCGTCAACATGCGCGTTGACACCTCCCACAATTCCCCGTCAACATGCGCGTTGACACCTCCCACAATTCCCCGTCAACATGCGCGTTGACACCTCCCACAATTTCCCGTCAACATGCGCGTTGACACCTCCCACAATTCCCCGTCAACATGCGCGTTGACACCTCCCACAATTCCCCGTCAACATGCGCGTTGACACCTCCCACAATTCCCCGTCAACATGCGCGTTGACACCTCCCACAATTCCCCATCAACATGCGAGTTGACACCTCCCAC